CTGAATAAAGAGGCAGTAAGCCTTTGACTACAGAACAACTTCTTTCTCTCAATATCCTCGAAGAAGCGTATCCGTGACTAAAAACAGTGAAAAACAAGGTTAAAATTTTAGCGATGAGTTTGTGAAGTTTTCAAAATGAATCCTGGTATTGAATGGCAAGAACCAACATCTCTTTCTTCTTGCGATGAGAGATGAAAAGCTTCAACTTATGAATCTGAATTCATTTTTTCTGGGTAGCTGAAAGCCCACTTGCGCAGACAATTTGTTTTCTCGCAAAACAGATCCAATTTTATGAATTTACTTGACGCAAATTTTTTTAGAATTAAAAGCCGTGTTAGCGCGCAAGTGTTAGGTTTTTTAAAGAGCGGCAAGCTGCTTTAAGTTTTATAAAAAAAATGATGATTTCTATAAATGCGCAGGTGGCACAGCTACACGAAACAGTAGCGAAACTATGCCGCAGGGTGTCAGTGAGTGGGACTGGACCAGCATGTCGGAGAATAATTTTGCCGAACTCTGCGTATTTCACGTTCCGGACAAACCTTTGGAACACCAGGTGAGTGGTTCGTTTTGCTGTCAACGTAACATAAGTAGTATAGTTGCAATTGTCAAAGTGGCAAAATACAGATAGCTTCGATTGGTGCGCATACTTTTTTAATTATTGAAGAATTTCTGGGATTTGCTTCTTGTCGCTCTGACACCTTTGATGCATCTGCGCAGCTAATAGTTGGCTTTTAAAATCGGACCAGCTGCTTTTGCTTCTGCCACTTGCAAATATAACACGTTCTGGGATTATCGGGATAAACGAATTTAGGGATCCAGTGTTATCGCTTTTACCGTCGTGCATCTATACAGTTACAAAAACTTCTTCATTTCTTCAACCTTTTTCTATAATTCAAACTTAAACTTTTTCTGTACTTCAAATGATTTCCACTCACGATTCAGTGAAATAAATGCTATGCCGTGAAGTAATGACTTTTTCACAGTAAAATGGTAATTTTTTGTTATAAAATATTTATTATATAGTAAGAACGATAGAGGAAATTGTCGCAAACAATTTATGCGTGATGTTTTGCTGTTCTCCAGGATCCGAGCAATCGTGCCGCAACATCGTTGCCCTTGAACCTGACAATTCGATCCTCGCAAGAAGTGCCGAAGGTAGCGTCCTTCGCATTCATCTGTTTTTTCTCCTCTCTCACTTCCTAATTACCCATCATTTTTTCTGAAAATTCATGACTTTGTTTTTCTACTATTCAAACATTACTCAACTGAAAAATTAAATTTTTCGATTTTTCCAATTATTACGCAGTTTTGAAAGAAAAACTCCGAATGCGATTTTTTATTGACATTTTTCGTAATTTACACGAAAAACTGGGAATTACTTTATCCCTTCAGTTTCATTGGCTTTGTATTATGGCTGCGTCTTTTGATTTACTGAGATCCTGGGCAAAAAACAGATTAGTTTTACTTTTTTTAATGTCTATTTTTAAGCCAGATTTATTTTCAATAAAGTTTTTCCGCTATTTGTCAAAGTACTGGAAAATTTGGAATACTACTGAAATGCCAATGAAAATAATTTAATCGACAGCGTTAAAAGTTGGAGCAGGACGGGGTAAAGACGCACCTTACGACTGCATGTGTAATTTGGTTGCAGTGTAGGCCAACAAAAAGAACAGTCGAATTTTAATATTTCATGAAATCCAAAGGAGCCATTTAGCTATGTTATGTAAACAGACCAATATTTAGACTAGGTGACGTCTGTGTTTCATCTCTGAACTGTATACATAGACGGCTGAATCGCTGCGAAATGGGGTGGGAATCATCAGTACAGTACCCCATTTAGCTATGTTGGAGGGGACATTTAGGTTTCGGTAAGAAGGATGAAAAGGAACAAAAATAGGTATAAACTCATTTATAAAAATTATATTATTGTTCGGAAGGTAAACTACTGTGCAAAAGGTACATTTCCGTTTTCGATTTCTTCGTGGGTGGTTCTCTAAATAGCGCCGTGTGAACTCAAATTTGGGTTATTAAGCAAAAAAACTTAAATTTGGGTTATTTATCAAAACTGCGCAAATGTAGATCAGTTTATGTTGCAGGCAATGGGTGTCTGGAGCATGGATTACATCCCACGTGGAGTTCGATTCGGACCGTTGGTTGGCGAGTACCGCAAACCAGATATCACTGAGGCTACAGTAAGCCCGGCAGAAGCAACTGCAGCTAGCGGTAGCTCGGGTCACTCCTCTACGCTGGGCTCCACCTCTGGAGAGCAGCCACCTTCGGCTCCGTGCTGGAAGGTATTCAGCAGCAGTGGTAGCATCCTGATTCGCATACTTGATATCAGCGACAATCGCAAGAGCAACTGGATGAAATTTGTTAATCGGGCACGCGCTAAGGAAGCTCAGAATTTGGTCGCCTGTCAGGTTCACCCACAATAATAATAATAATTGTAGTAGCAGTAATAATAATAATAATAATAATAATAATAATAATAATAATAATAATAATAATAATAATAAT